CGTAAAAAAATATATAATGACTAGAAACGAATTGATAGAGGATAGTAAATCGATGTGAAGACCATTATTTCGTGAAGCTACTCGTGACGCTGTCTCGTAACGCTTCTTCCGTGACGCTGGCCTCAGTATTTTACAATAGAGAAAAAGTAATACAACGCCAGTATAGAAACTTATAGAAGCAATAGACACGGCACCTAAAGAAGAAGATTGAAGCCTGTCTTCAATAAAACATTTAGGAGCCATAAGAAAAGCATATTGTGATGTTACATTATAATCTTTGAGTGGTTTAATAAGAACATTATCATCATCATTTTGGCTTTACAACCCTGTGTGGGTCCTAGCCTCCCCAAGAATTCTCTTCCAGTCGTCCCTATCCATCGCCTTCCTCCGCCAAGCACGTATTTCCATATTTCTCATATCTTGGTCTATGTTATCTAGGAATCTTGTTCTGGGTCTTCCTCTTCTTCTTTGACCAATAGGTCTATCAAGGAGCGTTTTTCTAGCTGGGTCGGTTTGCTCCATCAGCATTACATGGCCTACCCACCTCAGACGTCCTATCTTAATGTGTTTTACGATATCTGGTTCCTGGTATATTCTATAGAGTTCGAAGTTGTATCGTCTTCTCCAGACACCGCTCATACCGCTCTTTACCGCTCCATAGATTCGCCTCAGTATTTTTCTTTCGAAACATCCTAACATATTTTCATTGCTTTTTGTTAAAGTCCAGGTTTCTGAACCATATGTTAGGACTGGGTGTATTATTGTTTTGTAGAGTTTTACTTTTGTATTTCTTGATATAGCTGTAGATTTAAAAAGGAGATTAAGCCCAAAATAGCATCTATTAGCCGTGCAAATTCTGCGGTTTATCTCTGCGGTAATGTTATTTTCAGTATTGACGAGCGTTCCCAGGTATACAAATTCGTTAACTGCTTCGATGACGTCGTTTTCTATAACAAGTGGCCGTCGTATTTGTGGTTGCGGACCTACTTTCATGTATTTCGTTTTATTAATGTTTATTATTAAACCCATTTTTGTAGCCGCTTCCTTTAGTGCTACATACGCCTCTCGTGCTGCGTTTTCCGTTCTCCCAACAATATTGATATCATCAGCATATGCTAGGAGTTGCACAGATTTGTTATATATTGAACCGGTAGTTGTGATTTGTGACGTACGTATTACTTTTTCCAGAGCTAGATTGAATAGTATACAGGAGAGTGGGTCTCCCTGACGTAGCCCGTTATTTGTATTAAAAGGTTCAGAGAGTTCCCCCTGGATTCGTACTCTGCATTCAACTTTTTCAAGGGTTAGTTTGGTTAGACTTACCAACTGATTTGGTACTCCCAGGTCTATCATTGCTCTAAACAATTCTCTTTTATTTACAGAGTCGTAGGCTGCCTTGTAGTCTATAAATATGTGGTGCGTGTCTACACCATATTCCAGTGTTTTCTCTAGAATTTGTCTCAGGGTTGAAATCTGATGAATTGTTGATTTACCACCTCTGAAACCAGCCTGGTATTGTCCTATTATTTGCTCTGCATACGGTGCCATACGATGGCATAGTATATTGGAGAATATTTTATACGCTGCATTTAGGAGCGTAATTCCTAGATAGTTAGAGCATTCAAAGATATCTCTCTTTTTGTGTATGGTACAAAGTATTCCAATATTCCAATCACTGGGGAGGGACTTCTGTATCCATATTTCTTTTATAAGCTGCTGTAGCGCTATTATGATATCGTGACCACCTTCTTTCTATAATTCCGCTGGAAGATTATCTATGCCGGATGATTTATTTCTGGCTAGTTTATTGACAGCGTCTTTGACTTCCAGGATCGTTGGTGGATTCTCCTCCCTCTCGTCTGCTCCGCTTACCTCACAGCTTTCGTCTTCCGGGTTTTCTTCTTCTTCCTCTATATTAAGTATCTGGTTAAAATATTCCGTCCATCGATTTAGTACGTCTGTTCTTGTTGTTAATAGATCGCCATTCAAACTTCTACATTGATTTGTGTTTGCCTTGAATTCTTTTCTGTTGATGTTAACTTTCTTATAGAATGTTCTGAATTCTTTCTCTCTTGAGGTTTTCTATATATTGAAGTTCCTTTTTTAAGTGGTTTCGTTTCTTCATTCTGTGTATTTTCTTTTCTTCTCTTCTGTTTGTCTGGTAATTCTCTACACTTGTTCTAGTCCGGCGGGTAAGCATTTTTGCATAAGCTTCATTTTTTTTCTGTGTTGCGTCTTTGCATTCATCGTCAAACCAGTAATTTTTTCGGGTACCTACAAGTTTCTGTTCCTATTTCATCTTGTGCTGCTGACTCAATATCTTTCTTTATCGTGTTCCAGTAGGAGTCTATATCTCTCTGGTCTTCTTCGCTCGGACTTTGATTTCTTAACCTATTGGAAATATATTCCCAGTACTGTTTTGCAGCAGTTGCATCTCTCAGCTTCGGTACATTCCATTTCTTTGTATCTATTTTTTTTCTTTGACTATCTGACTAGTTGTTCTTCCATCAGGGGAGGTCTAGGTTACCTTGTGTATATTCTTATGTTCAAAATATGTGCTAGCGACGGTCATATTCAGTGCTGCTGCTAAGTTTATCAGTCGTGATCCGTTATCGCTACTGATGTTGTGTAGGCTACGCTTATCTATAGTCGGCATAAAAACTCGCTCTCATCCTATTCTTGCATTCATGTCACCTAGAACTATCTTGATGTTATTTCTGGGGCATCTTCTATAGGCTGGTTCTAGGTCGTCGAAAAACTGTTCTTTAACGTCTTCTAGTTTGTCGTCGGTCGGGGCATGTGCATTAATTAAACTGTAATTAAAGAATTTACCTTTTAAGCGTAAATAGCACATTCTTTGACGGTATACTTTAAAATCAATAACTAGGCCTTTTGTTCTTTGGTTTACTATAAATCCCACTCCATCTATGTGTTGGTTTTCATTGCAGCTGTAATATATGGAGTGGATTCTCTTGTCAAGAATGCTGTTCCCCTCCATCGCATTTCATGCAGTGCCAAAACATCTACTCTGTACATGTTCACTATGTCTAGTAGAGATGCGAGTGCTCCAGCTCGGTACAGGGTTCGGGTGTTCCACGTTCCTAATCTTAATTCCATTTTTCGTTTGCAGAGTCGTAGTCGTAAGTTCCGTCCGGCTAATAGCTCTTGAGGTTCCGTAACATATGATGTTTGCAGGAAGAGGTTGTTAGCCTCTAGCCTAACCCCCAACCTGGAGGACCACGGACTCTGTTGGGTTGCCATACCAGTCTGTTTTGGTTCACGGGTGGTATTTTATTTCCCACCTACCCGCCAGTCCTAGGACTGGTTAGGGCGTTCCCCTATCCACCACCTGGGGACGCGTCCGATGGGCGACAGACCACATCCACACGGAGGTTTAATAAGAACAAACTATTAATTAGGCTTATCCACAGGTATTCAGTGCTTTGCCGAAAAAATATCACAACTAAGAATGATTATGCAGCTGATTTATAAAATGCGATTATCTCGAAAACGAATAAATTTTGAAGTTCTTAACAAATACATCTTTTCTTTGTAAAAATAATGTGTCTTCAATATTTTTGAACACAAACTTAAAGTGCAAAAAAGTTAGGCGCAAAAATATGTTACATATGTGGCGCCCTGTATCAGCTACATTAAAGTGTATATAAAATTATAATTTCTCCTTCTCAAAAGCATCCAATTGTAAATTTTTATCCATAAATATTAACAAACGTGAAAGTTATAGCGAAAAATAAAATTTCAACTTTAACACCCTGTATGTGTTTTAATATCAATATTTTATTAAAGCAAGTTGGCTTAAATCGTAATATTTTAAAGTGCAGAATCCACGATTTCTTTTTGTAAAATTACTTAAAGACCACCCTGCATAAATCTATACTTTAGGCTGACCCGGCCACACTTCGTTGTGACTCAAATTTTTTTGGATGTTCCCACTGAATATAAAGTGATGCAACAGTATAAAAAATGCACCAAACTTAATTGAAATTATACTTAATAATTATTAAACGTACAGTTATTAATAATATACAAAATAACACACAGCACAATGAAAATAAAATAATAATACAGAAGAAATTGAACACACACGTTGTTTGTGTCTTAAATTTGTGGAACACATATGGAATCAATTATAGTATTGAAGAAACATTGAAAATTGAAGCACTACCTATTAAAAATTTACACAATGTCTATTTAAGCGAACATTTACCGATATATATTAAAAACTTAATTCAAAAGTAATTAAAATTCTTTTGATATAAAACTGCTGAATTTCCTATTTTGGTATCTCTTATAATGGATTTTGTCACAAAAGTTGATCATCCTGTATGTTTTGAGTTCAAACAGAATTTTTAAACATTACATTTTACTTTCATGCTTGTTCTAGTACTGATAGGAAAAATGTTGTTAATAATGAAATGATTATGCTCTGAAGCTATTTGCTTGCGGCATCTTAATGCAATTTACTGTTTTTATTAGGAATAAGCCAAAATTTTACTTTAAAATAAGTTTATTTAACATCTCAATTTTAACTTCAGAAATTTTCTCAACATAAAAAAAAAACATTAATAAAACAAATTTTGTTACTCGATAAATAAATTCTTCTAATACTTAATTATATCTGACTCATTCATATTGATAACTCTACATATATTATACATTTTGAAGTAGATGACTTTCCGATACTATTGTCAATATTTTAGAGTTGAGTTTCTGGGATGATTTTTTTAGAAGATGATTCATTCGATTACATGAAATGAACAGTGACATATGTTTCGCTGATATGTCAGTTTTCTTTAATTTAAGAACACCAAAGTACTAAATACACATATTACATCAAACTCGAGAGTTACGCATCAAAGTCGTACTGCAGGTAGGTTCCTAACCTACGTTTCTAAAAACCTATATAGGTACGTTTAAATCGCTTACCTTAATATTGCAGATTAATTATTATAAATGCTTAAAGAAATCAATAAGGCTTTCAGTATTAAATTGTGTTTATTTATTAATCACAATTTATATAAAACACTTTTATGTAAAGACTCACTTGTTAAATACAACTATATTTAAAAAAGATGAATTCCGCTAGTCCAAATTTTACTATTAAATTTATTACTCTTTTCTATCATTTTTACATGGGTAAATGACAAAAATCCACATGCAATGTATTACCTCCACGGTAAATTTTGCAGACAATTTGTAAAAAAGAATTTGCAGCAAAATTCACATTTAAAGTGTTTTATCTCCAGTATGCATTCTTATATGTTCTATTAACCTTGATCTTAGAACTGGTGTCAATTTCATATGCAAAACTGATTTACAGCGTGTATTCTCATGTTTTTTTTAAATAGGACCTATGTGAACATTGTTGGTACAAATTGCAATTGCAAAAGATTTACATGTGAAATTTCAGTGATTTCCGAAATACATCTATTGTGTATTCTCATATGATTTTTTGTTAACCTCGATCATCGTAAAAACTTCTTTGAGAAAATTTGGCAAAAAGTTTATCGCCAGTGTGTACTCTCATATATTCTCTTAAATTCGAACTTTGTAAAAATTTTTGGAGCAAATTTCACATGCAAAAGGTTTATCACCAGTGTGTACTCTCATATATTCTCTTAAATTGAAACTTCGTGAAAAACTTTTGTAGCAAATTTTACATGCAAAAGGTTTATCGCCACTGTGTATTCTCATAATAACTGTTAAAGTGGCACTTTCACATCCACATGTTGTGTCAAAGTGGAATTTTGTGAAACACCTTTGGAGAAAATTTCACATGCAAAAGCTTAATCGCTAGTGTGTACTATCATATCTCCTATTAAATTTGTTCTATGTGAAAAACATTTTTAACAAATTTCACATGCAAAAGGTTCATCACCAGTATGTAATCTCACATGTTGTGTCAAAGTGGAATTTTGTGAAAAACCTATGGAACAAATTTCACAGGCAAAAGCTTAATCGCCAGTGTGTACTTTCATATGTCCTATTAAATTTGTTCTATGTGAAAAATATTTGGAGCAAATTTCACATGCAAAAGGTTTCTCACCAGTGTGTATATTCATATGTTCTTTTATACTGGATCTATGTGAAAAACTTTTGCAGCAAATTTCACATGCAAAAGGTTTATCGCCAGTGTGTACTCTCATATGTTCTGTTAAATTAAATCTTTGTATAAAACTTTTGTAGCAAATTTTACATGCAAAAGGTTTATCGCCAGAATGTACTCTCAGATGAACTGTTAAACCAGATTTTTGTGAAAAACTTTTAGAGCAAATTTCACATGCAAAAGGTTTTTCGCCAGTGTGTACTCTCATATGTTGTCTTAACTTGGATCTTTGTGAAAAACTTTTAAAGCATATTTCACATGCAAAAGGTTTCTCACCAGTGTGTATATTCATATGTTCTTTTATACTGGATCTATGTGAAAAACTTTTGCAGCAAATTTCACATGCAAAAGGTTTATCGCCAGTGTGTACTCTCATATGTTCTGTTAAATGAAATCTTTGTATAAAACTTTTGTAGCAAATTTTACATGCAAAAGGTTTATCGCCAGAATGTACTCTCAGATGAACTGTTAAACCGGATTTTTGTGAAAAACTTTTAGAGCAAATTTCACATGCAAAAGGTTTTTCGCCAGTGTGTACTCTCATATGTTCTGTTAAATTGAATCTTTGTGAAAAACTTTTGTAGCAAATTTTACATGCAAAAGGTTTATCGTCAGAATGTACTCTCATGTGAACTTTTAAATTATATTTTTGTGAAAAACTTTTAGAGCAAATTTCACATGCAAAAGGTTTTTCACCAGTATGTACTTTCATATGTTCTGTTAACTTGGATCTTTGTGAAAAACTTTTGGAGCAAATTTCACATAGAAAAGCATTTTCTCCAGTAGGTACTGTTAAATGACTATCTTTATTAAACTCTTTAGAACAAATTCCACACGTTAAATGTTTTTTTCTTGCAACGTGACTGTTTACACTTGATTTTAAATGCGAACTTTCTGAAAAGTTTTTAATGCATATTTTACACGTGAAAACTTGGTCTCCAACGTAAACCCTCGTATCTGGTTCTAAATGATTCTTTGTTGAAATGGCGCAAATTTCAGTGGTAACGTAGTTTTCCTCGGTGTTCATATTCGTCGAGGCACTTAAACATTGGTCCATATCAGCGGTAATTCTAATATAGTCTTTAAATAACTGTTCATCACTTTGTATATCTTCATCAGTTTGTATATCTTCATGGGGAAAACCTAAAATCGTTATTATCTATTAAACCACTATATATACATCCTTAAATAAAAAATATTTTATGGTCGGTTAAAAAAATCTCGGAAGAGAATGGAAGGGGTTATATTTAATAAAACAAAGTATACTTATTTGACTTTAATTATAATATTAATAATATTATTAATTATAATATATAATATTATTAATTATAATATTAATAAAGATATAATAATTATCGTAGTTGGAAACAAAGGCCAGCACACGATTTTTGGAAGGCAGCAAACATTTACTTCAACCATGCAGGCATCAATTTTTTCCCATTATAATTTAGTTAGGAGGAATCTAAATAAACAAATCTTATCGAGTAAACCTCGATAAGATTTGTTTAAGAGTCTTTGGCCTAAGAGTACACATTGTTTCTGCTGAGTGTGCCATGAGATCATTCGGTTAAACAAATTTTGCTGCAAGAGCGTGGCTAATATTAAATAATATTTATGGATAATAACAAGTAACGAGACAAATTAATAACAGATAATCTCGCCTACCGTGTAAACAAAATACCGAGATATTTAGAATAACGAAGTAACGATATATAATTCTCGGTTTGTTATTTAGATACTTAGGGTATTTGTACTTTAGATACTTAGGGTATTTGTACTTTAGATACTTATTAGTAACTAGTAGTAGTTACTTTTTCCACATCAATAAATTTCATTCCCAATTGAAGTTTACAATTTGACGGACAAAGGGACAAAGATTTAAACAGTTCTAGTCGGAGTAGTGAGCGTTGGAATTATAGATTTTCTTCTTATGGTGCCCTATCTAATTAGTGGATGTTGGCGACAAAATGTGCATGGACATCGAGGTTTGTCCAATCCCTTATGTTTTTAAGCCATGAGTATTTCTTTCTTCCGATGCCTCGTTTTCCTTCTATCTTCCATTCCATAATAAGCTTTAAGAACTGGTACTTGGAATTTCGAACTACGTATTTCTAATTACGTATCTCTGTCTGGATCTAGATCTTCAGTTATCCAACTACCGAGATATCTGAACTTGGGGACCTTTTGGGCGTTCTTGTTGTTTACTCTTATATTTAATTGCATATTTCAGTTTCAGAGTAAAGATTAAAAAGGAGGGGTGACAGAACAGAACCCTGTCGTAAACCTTTTTCGATTGAGAAATATGATGTAAATTCCAGTCCTACTCTTACAGTTGCCACTTGACTCATATAAAGGTTCTTTATGATTTTAAGGTCATTCTCATCTACCGAACGTTCCTGGAGCAATCTTACTAATTCTGAATGATTTACACAATCGAACGCCTTCTGGTAATCTATAAAGCATAGGAAGACATCTTTTTGCTGATCTCTGCATTTCTGAAGTAGGACAGTTAAGCTATAAAGTGCTTCTCTTGTGCCAAATCCTTGTCTGAAACCGAACTGTGTGGGGCTAATGTCTCTTTCACATCTGTTGTATATTCTTGTGTGTATTATCTTTAAGAAGAGTTTTAGGACCTGGCTCAATAAGCTGATCATTCGGAATTGGTCACAACTATTAGCGTTTGGCTTTTTTGGGATTGGTATAAAGGTTGATTGAAGCCAGTCCTGAGGTAGTTGACCGGACCCATAAATGTCATTAAAAAGATCTACCAAGGCTTCTTAATTTTCTTCACTCAACATTGTTAGAACCTCTATGTATATGTCGTCTGGGCCTGGTGTTTTTCCCCATTTGCTCTGTTTGATTGCCCTTACAACTTCTGACTTCAATATTTTGGGGGAGGGTTTATATTATATTCACTTTCAGAGTTTCTTCTAGTTGTCTGAGTATAATTGCTGTGTGTAGTTTCTCCAATGTTGAAGTAGATCTTTGGGATCAGTAATTAATTTATTGTCCTTTACAATATTGTTAAAACAAAGTTTTGTATGACCTGTCACTTCTTTAATGAGTTTATGTATGTTAAAGTGGTCATCTTTTTCTTCCAATTCCTCCATTTCTGCACATCTGTTTAGCAGCCACTGTTCTTTAGATTTGCGACATTCTTTTCGTATTTGTCGGTTAATCTGCTGTTTGATTTGGTCTTTGTTTTAAAATGATCTGCGATCGTCCATCATTGATAATATTTCGTCAGTCATCCAATTCTTCTTTTTGTACTTTTGGGAAGCGATCAGAGACTTAGTTTAACGTTAGGTTGTTTTAAGTTGTATATATCAATTTTCTTTATGGATTTTCTTTTAATTTTCTTAAGCTTAATTTTTAATTTTCCTACTACGGGATTGTGATCAGATCCGATATCTGTTCGAAGGTACGTTTTTACTCCTTGCAATCCATTTCTGTATGTTTCTGTCTGATTAATCAATAAAAAATCAATTTGATTTCTTACTATGTTGTCATGCGTATGTTGTGGATCATAATTATAGATCTAAAAAACCTAAGCAAATTTGATGAGTTTTTCGAAATAATTCATGCATTCCAAATTGCTTTGTGTAAATTATGCCTACATAGAAATATTGAAATGAAAATTAAAAACAGAAACACGCCAGGTTTAAGGAAGCATTTAATATCTTTCCACAAAAAGGATTTACAAATATTTTTTCCTAAAAAACCAAAATTCGGTGGAGATACCACCAGCTTTTTAATAACCGCTGGAAAAAGTGGACATGTAATAAAATATACTTATTATTTCATTACCAATTACATAAATTATGTACCTACTACTTTATTTTGGTAAATGAATATATTTATTAAGTAGATATCTGCTTAATTTAAAATAACTTCTTTTGATTTTCATTGCTTTTTTACCTATTCTTTATTTTTTCAAGATATTTTTTTATATAAAAATAGAGCTTAGATTGTTAATAACATTTATGTTGTTTTAATAAGTAGTGGATTATAGTTTGTGATCTTGTCATCTAAAGAATCTGTGCTCTTGATACATGTATGTGGATTTTTTGCCACATACCAATCTTTTTTAAGATTTCCATTTCATATATGGTCGGGGGTCCATCAATCCCTTTCTAGACAGATAATATTCTTTAAAATACAGCAAGTTTATGTCATTAATTTTGTTTTTTTGTGTTTTAAACCATGTTTCAGCACACGTAAGCTTGTTAAATGCAAAAGTTTATTAAGAAACAGATTGAATTCCCTGGGGCATGGTAGATAGCTGAGTTAGTTAGAGCATAGGTACCGATCGCTTAGATCGTGGCTTCAAACACTACACGGTGTCAATTATTTAGACATTTATTAATTTGGTTGGTCTTTATTATGGCTATGTTAATTCAAGCTTAAAAAGTACTTGCTCTGTTACGTTGTTCTGAGATCTAAAGTAACGTTTAATAAATAGCAATGGGCTAATGGGTAACTACAAGACTCTTGCTGCAAGACCAAGACAGGGAGTGCAATACCAAGACCAAGACAAGGTGTATTGGCGCAAGTCCAAGACTGTTTAAGTCTCGTCTTGTTCTTGCATTTCGGCAACACTAGTTACTAAATATATGAGCAATTTAGTATATGAGCAAATAAGGATATAAATAGATCTAATCTTTACACTTATGCGAATCCTAAAAAAAATGGGCGAATTTGATACAGATACGCATCACCTCCCCATTGACTTTTAGAGTGCCTATGATTATATCAATCGCCTACAGTATGCCTACACAAACAGGATAAGGGAGAAGTGGTTGCACTTTCTCAGACCGATGCTGAAACATTTTTGCAAATTTTCGAAAGCGTAATTTTTTTTCCCGATCTGTGGTTATGCCTTTTGACAATCTTCCAAATGGCATGAAGAATAAAATGACGGCCAATGATCTAATAACATTACATGTTTAGGTAAATGCTTTGGGGCACCAGTAACAGTTATGCCAAAATGTTTAAAAGTAGAATCAATATTTCTTTATCGATTCATAAAATGCCATAAGGGATAATATCGTGGAACCAAACAAATTTTTTGTAATAAGAAAAATTCGTTTTTCAAAAAAACGCACTCTGGTTCAAGTCTAAATTTCCTTTATTTCTGGTTATCTCATATGACATTTTCAGTACACAAAAAGGCATAGGGAGAAATCACGGTTGAACTTCGTATTGAAATCCGACGTTCTATTCCCTAATAGCACATGTACGTCCATAGTACGTCCCTCGCGGACTTTAGGGACGTCCCTCGAACGTCCGCTTTGGTCCTATTTACGTCCGTTTTACGTCCTATATTGGTCCGAATGTCGCTGCGCCAAACGTCCTATGGACGTCCATTTTACGTCCCGAGCGGACGTAAAATGGACGTACCGGGACGTTAATTGGACCTTAATCGGACGTCCATAATACGTCCAGAGAACTTACTTGACGGACTTTTGTGATATTTTCGGACATCTATTTTAGCGCTCAGGATGTAAATTAGACGTCAACGCCATTGCATAAAGTACTAAAAGTGGTGTCATCCTGTGCATATTAAGAATGTATTTTGGGAAATAAAACTTAAATGTTTAAAGAAACTTACATTTATTATTACATTTATTTATATTTATTTATTATTAACAAACGGGACAAATTCACTGTCAAAATTATGCAAAAATGCAACATTATAGAAATATAAAATAATTTTGTGTAATAAAACATAAATGTTTAAAGGAACTAACATTTATTATTACATAATATTGATTTATTATTAACAAATGGAACAAATTCACTGTCAAAATTATACAAAAATGCAACATTATAGAAATATAGACAAAATTACAGATAAAATAAAATATACATGAATAAAATAAATAAGTACACATTTTATAATGAGTTTCATTTAGCATTTAAGTGCTTCAAATAGTACCTAAAGCTATTGATATGAAAGTTTTAGACCATCTCTATGTGTGAAACATAATTAGTTCTGTGGTAAGGAACATGGAAATGTAAATTCTGCCACAGTGAATGGGAAGGAATATGAAAACAAACTAGCTGAAGCAATTCAGTAGATTGGTTATTTTATAAAGTTGAAAAATAAAGATTAAAAGGTAACACTTTTGATAAGAGAATCC